GTTCCGCCGTGAGCGTCGCGATTTCGAGCGCCGAATCTTCTAGTTGACGCACGAGACGATCAAGCTGCTCCTGCGTCAATGTGGCGAGCGTGAAATCGGCCATGGCGGGGGTGTCGGGCAAGCTCAGCGAGAGCGTCGGTCGTGGCCGTGCGTGCTTACGAGAGAGCACTACGAGCGGCGGTGCTGTATCGCTGAGAGACGTCTACCCCCCCCCCCCCCCCCCCCCCCCCCCCCACCAAAATTGAGATACTGGGGAAGCGAAAATGTGGATGCGGTCCAAGATGAGATCGTAGGCTCTGAATACCAAGTGTTACGAGTGCAATTGAGTGAACGAACGAGAATTGCACTATCGAAGCAAGAATACAATGAGCGAAGGCATGAGCGAAGAATATATAGCGAAACTACAGTGCTAACGGTAATGGACTGTGGTTGTCGTGCGACGAGCCTGGGACTGAGGTTGGGAAAGTGTCGAAGCGGAGGCCCGAAGCGCGGGTTACCAGCCGAGCCGTGAGGTCGGGGTGCGATGTGCGAAGATGGCAGGATGATTGTCGATGCGAGGATCGCGAGTGGTAACGGTGCTAACTGAGGTGCTACAGTGATGTACGCGTTGAGCAGGGATGGAAAGTAAGGATAAGGGATTTTCATTACAGCTGCCGCGTTATCCGCAATTTCCATCGACGGACTTGACGCGCCCGTGTCAGGTGGTCAACCGGTTTCAACAGGCGTGACAAGTGGAGTTTCCACCTGCAATCTAAACTTCCAGCACGCCGTGACAATCGGTCGAGCATGTTGTGAATCGTGAATTGCGGCGTGATCCACTTTGCCCTCGCAGGTTGGGAAAATTGCAGGAAATCGAGTTCGTTACGCTTCGAGAAACGTCGGATTCACAATGGGTTACACGATGCGAGGCATATCTTTGCCGCTGCTGCTTCTCGCGCTTTTCGTAGCGTCAGCCTCCGTCGCGCCTGGTAAGATCCTGCGACTTGTATCACGGCCTTTTCACCAAAAACAGTTTCCTTCTCCCAGATGAAACTTCCGTTTCCTCGCACCTTCTCCCCTTTCGCGCAGTTTTCTTTTCTGATACTCTGAATTGGTTTTGACTCTGTAAGATGTCGCCCGATTCTTCCGCGTTTTCTCCTTCTCGCGCAGTTTTTGGAAGGACCTTATCTACTCGTCGCAGCCTCGCCCTCAGGGCCCTCTTGCTCGTGAGCTTTCCGGGATCGTCAACCATTACTCTGCTAGCAAATCCCGGAGACACTGGCGGAGATATCGGCGGAGATACCGGCAGTGGCGGCGAAATTGGGGGAGGGGGCGATGCGGGGGAAGGCGGAGAACCTGGCGGACCTGGCGGAGACGTCGGCGACGATCAGGGCGGTCTTGAGGGCCCCCCTGGTGGCGACAACGGGGATACCGCCAGTGGCGGAGATCCCGGCAGTGGCGGAGATCCCGGTAGTGGCGGCGACGTTGGGGGAGGCGAGGACGGCCCGCCACTGATCGGCGCTGGCGGAAAGGGAGGAAAGGGCGGAAGGGGAGGGAAAGGTGGAAAGGGCGGAAAGGGAGGAAAGGGCGGAAAGGGAGGGAAAGGGGGCAAGGGGGGAAAGGGAGGGAAACCTGGTAACCAGCAGGGTGGAGCTGGCGGAGAGCAGGGGGAAGCTGGCGGAGAGCAAGGGGGAGCTGGCGGAGAGCAGGGGGGATCTGGCGGACAGCAGGGAGGATCTGGTGGAGAGCAGGGCGGGGCTGTTGAGGAGCAGGGGGGGTCAGGGGGGGCGGATGGTAGCCACATCGCGAAAGTGTGAGGCCCGAAAAGTTGCGGAATATCAACTTCAAAGTTGCTTTTTCGCAACTTTGGTTTCGCAGGAAAAAAGTCTAGGTCAAAGGCTTCTGTGGCGGGGTGACTTTCGAAGTTGCGGATAAGTGACGACAAAGCGACAAAAAAATGGCCATCTTGCAACCACACGACACAACTGAAAGGTGACATCTGAAGTGACATTTGTGTGAAGGACTTGGGCTTTAAGTCACTTTTGCCACCCCTTTGCCACGTGGACGCCTGAACGCCACGTATGTAGATATTTCCTGCCAGCTGTCAAGGTGAATAGAGGATGGACAAATGCCACGTGGACCAATCAGATTTCGTGATGCATATTGGTGCATGCAATGCAATTTGTAGGGACAGTTTAGTTCAGCATGTACATCTAGAAATTTATGTTACTATAAGTACATTTTTATACAACAGACCTGACAAAACGCCCTAATACCATAATCGACATGATCTGGCACAACTAAATAATCTAACTGCAGGTACTTCAACAGAATCAAAACATTTACGCCCTTTCAACCACTTGAGCCTGGAGTTCTGAAACACACGTAAAATCAGAAACACAATCCAAGACAGGGAGTAGTACCTGCAAAATCTGATGTTAGCCAGGCGAGAACAAATGTAGTAGTAGACATACCTGCGGCCACTTACCTGTTTGCCGCAGTGGACTACGAATGCTTGTGCCGTTTAATAAGTCAACATGTTTACGAAATACATCGACATTAATACAAGGTCGCGCAAATGAGGAGCGCACCACACGACGTTAAGAAAATACACATCTGCACACAAAGCGGCATAATTCGACCAAGAGAGAACGCACTCCCAGCGTTGCCCTCCATTCCGTGCACAGCACGGTACGTCATGAGTTGGGCAACAACAACAAAAAGGAGAAACAAGGTATCGACGTACCGATAAAAGACCGTCTCAGTGACTCATTTACACCCGTTGTACGGTTGTAAAATGGCTCCCGACCTCCAGTTGAATTTGGACTTCAACCTGGACAATGGCACAAGGAGAAAAAAAAAAACGACGCAATAAGACTTTAGGTTAAAACGAGAATACTTAGGGAAGACGGATCTGATCGAGGCAGAAAAGATTGATGCACAGAAGAGCAGCGCGCCTAGTAACTAGAGAAAAACGTTAAGTTTTGAGAAGAACAAGAGCAGAAAATGAGACACAAAGCCAGGAGGAGGTAGAAGAAGGGGTTGGTTGGGAGCACATTCGAGAGGTTCTAGGTTCAAAGCTGACGTGGAGATGAGGAATCATGCTGATTGGTGGGCTCAGTTTTGTTTCCCACATCGAATGGTTCAGAACCACAAGATGTGGTTCTGATTCCTGAATCAGTAGAGTTTTGGTTGGCGACGTTACCACGAAATTCGGGAAACACAGTTGGCGTGTAACATTCGCGCTGCTTGTTGATCGGTCGTTTCAATTTCAGCTCGGAAAAATTTCGGTCACACAAGTAACATTTCGTCAGCTGTGCGAAATTGCCACCAACCTTAACTCCCTAAACCGCACTGTAACGCTCTTTAACACGCGAGACACAAGTGGGTGTGCACATTTGAGGGGTGAAAGTGACATTTCCGTAGCTGTTTTGTTGCGCCATATAGGTGACATTCTCGCAACTTTCACCCTGGGTGTTTTTCCGAAGGTTTTCCGCAGCTTTTCCGCAAGAAAAGCTACCGTGTACATTTCGTGCCCACAAGAGATTTCGCGATGCAGACTGGGGGCATAACGAGCACCGGAAAGGGCGGAAAGGGAGGAAAGGCTGGGAAGGGCGGAAAGGGTGGGAAAGGAGGGAAAGGGAGCAAGGGGGGAAAGGGAGGGAAACCTGGTAACCAGCAGGGCGGGCCTGGCGGAGAGCAAGGGGGATCTGGCGGAGAGCAAGGTGGGGCAGGCGGAGAGCAGGGGGGATCCGGCGGAGACCAGGGGGGACCCGGCGGAGAGCAGGGGGGATCTGGTGGAGGGGCTGGCGGGGAGCAGGGTGGGGCGGATGGTAGCCAGACTGGGGGCACAACGAGCACCGGAAAGGGCGGAAAGGCTGGAAGGGGCGGAAAGGGTGGGAAAGGAGGGAAAGGGGGCAAGGGTGGAAAGAAATAAAAGCTTTTGCAACACATAGGTTGTACCACTGTTTCTTCTTGTACCATTATTGCAGCCAAGTCCATATATGCTGTACTTTCCGAAACCTTCGTGTAAGAATGCCAAAGCAGCCCTAGTAACCTGTGGTACTTGTGTCAGACGTCAGCAGTATGGACGCAAGCTAAGGTTTTTTTAGCCTTTTGCATTTCCGGCACAAGCATCAAACTCGACTGCAACTTCTGTCATCATAGCCTTTTACCAACTCTTGCAGCTACTACGATGTTCTCGATGCGCACTTTCATTCTTGCGCCGTCACCAATCTGACATCCTACCAAGATCTTGTAGCTACGGCGAGATGGCAAGCAGTACCATGCTACGAATTTCTATCTGACGGAAGATGTACGGAGTAGTGTCTGATCGGGATTCGGGAAGGCAGGCTTGGTTGGGTCAGTGTGCTGAAAAGTTTGGGGCGCGTTTTTGCAATGGCACAGCCTGTGTAACCCAGGCTGCTACCCACAGGGAATTACACGACGGAATGCGAAGCAGGTAACCTCGCAGGTCACATTGTCGGCTCATCCCAGCAGCGCCGGTTGCGAAGTGTGCGATTATTCAGCGAAGACGGGGATACCCCACACGTTGATCCAGCAATCATTCCATGCGGTTTAGAACGTTCTCGACACATCGCCGAAACGCTCTTCACCGCTTTGATTTGTGGAGCACCAGATCAAACCGTGGTGCGTGAGTTGAACAACGTGAGCGTGAGCGACATTCCCTAAGCGTCAAGCCGTATGACAGCTGCATCACCAATCAACAGTCACTTCGGTGATGGCTTGAAATTGGTGGTAGGATTTCTTATCCAGAACGCAACGACGATAAATCTTACTTAGCTCAGGTTGCTTTCTGAAATTTCACCATGATACGAGGCCTCGGTTACTGCACGGTGTGCGCATTCACGGCTTGTTAACCGCGTAGTATCACCGCGACGCGAGTGATCCGCATGGCCTTGTGATTGTGAATCCGCGACACCAATGTGTCGTTTTCCCGCCAGTAATGTCAGCGACATCTTTGGAGCGTCTTTCCCGTCGTTATTTTTGGCGAGTGCGAAATGGCGGTGTCTGCAGAGCTGGTTACCAGCATCGTCCTTTGGCTGCTGCTCAATCTTCTCGTTCCCCTGCTCTTCAAGGTACTACTTCCTTGACTTCTCAGATATATTTCTGACATCTCAGATGTTTTTTCTAGTTTTATTTAAGCGTCGTCTCGACTGACGACTGGTAAGCTGTTGTACTTTGGTTGCTGCTCAATCTCCGCGTTTCCTTTCCCCGCTCTTTAGGGTACTTACCAGACGTCTCAGATAAAAATCTCTTAGTGCAGTCTCTCAACCAGCGTTTAATAAGCTGCTTCGTTTTGGCCGCTGCTCACCTTCTCGTCCCCCTGCTCTTTGAAGCTACAAAAGTCTGTTTCATTTGGCCGCGAGACGGATCCGATCCTCTTTTTCCCCCTTCTTTCTCTCTCCTTTTCACTCCCTTCGTTAGTAAGCTCATTCCCCCTGCACTGGCGCTGGCTGCGCGGAGGCAGGGGAAGGGGAGCCTCAGTTGCGTCAATGCGCCAATTCCCCACTACCCTTCTCCCATTCCCCCCCACTCCCCCCCACTCCCTGTCCGCCCTCCACCCTCCTCCTGCCCCTTGTCCTTTCCCTCAGCGCGCGGAGTTCTCTCTCCGCGCATCCCCCTTGCACTGGCGCTGGCTGCGCGGAGGCAGGAGGAGGGGGAGCCTCAAGCGGAAGCGCAGGGCAAGGGGAGGCGAATGCGATAGTCAAGGGGGAGGAAGTGCCCAAAGCGAATGTGCTAATAAAGGGGTCGGAGGAGGCTTGGATAGCAGCGGAGAGGAGGATTGGGGGGAGAGTGGTGGGAGAAGGGGAGGGGCGGATGGAGGGGAGATGAGGGGGAGTAAGGGAGAGGTAGGGGGAAACGATGGGAGAGCACAGGGCGAAAGGGAGCGAGAAGGGGTTACCCTCACAAGTGGGGTTACATCTAGCATAGGGTAAGTTATACACCTTCTAGTTGAGTATATATATAAAAATATATACGTATATGACCTCCCCTCCCGCCCTCTCTCCCTCCCTCCCTCCCTCCCTCCCTCCCTCCCTCCCTCCCTCCCTCCCTCCCGCCCACCACCAGGTACGGTCAGATCCACACCACGTGTTTCAACACGAGCACCTTCACATGCTTGAGGGCACCACAGAGTGTCATCCGTTTGCCTCCCACCCTCCCTTCTCCCCATCCCTCCTCCCTCCCTCGCATCACCAGGTACATTCAGGTCCACACCACGTGCTTCAACCCTTGGCTAGAGCGGCTTCGCATGCTGCCTGCTAAGTCAGCTACCAAGAGGTGGGGCATTGGGCTGGGCTGTAGTTGAAATGCTTGATTTTCTCATTCACTTCAGGGTGTTTCTTGTTTTGGCAATCCTTTTCTGTTCTTCGTATTATGCCTAAACCTCAGCGTGCGAATAAAAACTTAACAAAAAAAAAAAAAAAAAAAACCTGCACAAAGAGACAGAACCAAACAAAACCTTCCCTGGTTTTTCTTCATTTCGGGATGCTCCGTGCATGGTTCACATGGGGGGTCATTGCAGCCTCTGTATCATTGCATGGTTCTTTGTGTCTCGTGTAACCCTCAGTACTCAAACCGAACATCGCCACAAGCTAATATTTTCTCATGTGTCTCATCTCATCCCAGGATGCTCCGTGCATGGTTCACATGGGGGGTCATTGCAGCCTGCGTCGCCTTCCTATTGGCCTCTCTGGTGCGTGTGTGCATACAACCCTCCCTCATCTCTCCCCATTCGCATTCACATGGGGGGTCATTGCAGCCTGCGTCGCCTTCCTATTGGCCTCTCTGGTGCGTGTGTGCATACAACCCTCCCTCATCTCTCCCCATTCGCATTCACATGGGGGGTCATTGCAGCCTGCGTCGCCTTCCTATTGGCTTCTCTGGTGCGTGTGTGTGTGCACGAAACCCTCATTTTTTACCATTCTTATTCGCACGCGCTGGGACCGTCGAACGAATTTTGAGGCGCCTCAAACGTTCCCATTGTCATTTTGCGTAGGTGCCTCGAACGCTTCTATACGAGTGTATTCATGCCACTCTCAATGCAGCACGTATCGTATCGTATCGTATCGCATCGCATCGCATCGCCTTCATGTTGGCCCTCTGATTCGTGGATTGCATGCATCAAACTCGACAAATATTTATTTGTTTCATGCTTAGGTCCCCCCTCCCTTCCCTCCCTCCCTTCCCTCCCTTCCTTTCCCTCCCTTCCTTTCCCTCCCCAGGTTCTTCTATGGGACGGCCTTGTTGCTTCCCTCCTCGTCCCTCTCCTCCGCCACCTCTCCACCTCATCCCAGCACCTAGCGGAACAGCAGCGCTTTTACCCTCACACCCACTCTCACAACCACTCTCACTACAGTCACATCCCTTCTGCTGTAAACGCCTCTTTCGGACCTTCCTCTCCTGTCGTCGCCCTCTCTAGAGCAACGGGTGCTGCAGCGTCCCTTGCAGCACAGCAAGCGTCCCATGCAGCACAGCAAGCCGTCCAAGCAGCAGAGCCACACCCCGCTGATGCAGCAGAGCCAGCAACGTCCGCCACTCCTGCTGCGACCTCTTCCTCCCTGCATCTTCTACAGCCTGTGGTGAGTGAGTGAGTGAGTGAGTGAGTGCTGAGGAGGGCTGGCACTGGCATTGGCACAGAAAGCGTGCCTTGCAGCACAGCAAGCTGTCCAAGCAGCACAGCAAGCCGTCCAAGCAGCACAGCAAGCTGTCCAAGCAGCACAGCCACACCCCGGTGCTCCAGCAGAGCCAGATGCGCATGCTGCACGGCAAGCAAGCAACCGCCCCTGCCTCTGCTGCGACCCCACCATCCTCGCTTCACGTGCTACAGCCAGTGGTGGTGAGTGAGTGAGTGGGTGGGTGAGTGAGAGGCGCATGCTGCAAGGCAAGCAACCACCCCTGCCTCTTCCTCTGCCTCGACCCCATCGTCCTCGCTTCACGTGCTGCAGCCGGTGGTGAGTGAGTGAGTGGGTGAGTGAGTGGTGGTTGGGTGAGTGGGTGGATTGAGTGAGTGAGTGAGTGAGTGAGTGAATGTGTGAGTGAGTGAGTGTTGAGGGGGGCTAGTACTAGCACTGGCATTGCAAGCGTCCCATGCAGCACAGGCACAGCAAGCCTTCCCATTCCAAGCAGCAGAGCCACACCCCACTGCCCCAGCTGAGCCAGATGCGCATGCTGCACGGCAAGCAACCGCCCCTGCCTCTGCCTCTGCCTCTGCCTCGACCCGACCGTCCTCGCTTCACGTGCTACAGCCTGTGGTAAGTGAACGAGTGCGTCTGTGAGTGGGTGAGTAGGTGGTGAGTGAGTGACTTAATGATTGAATTGAGTGTTAGTGAGCTGGTGGGTGGGTGGTGAGAGCTGAGGACAAGTGGGTAATCCTTACCTGTCCTTACTTCCACCCCTCTTGTTCGTTGCTTCCTTCACTCCACCTCCCCATTTCTCACTCTCCTCTCACCACTTCACCCCCCTCTCCTTTTCCGCCCCCCTCTCCACCTCTCTCCCCCTCCCTCCCTCCCTCCCTCCCTGCTCTTTTCCTCCCCCGAACCGTTCCATACCTGGCCCCCACGTGGAGCAACAGCTGCCAGGTGTCAACATGCCATTGGCCGATCTCGGGTACCTCTTTATAGCCACGCTTATCAGCCTGGCATGGCATGAGGCAGGGCACGCCGTAGCTGCTGCCGTGTGAGTGTAAGTGTCGTGGGAGTGTGTGTGTGTGTGTGTGTGTGTGTGTGTGTGTGTGTGTGTGTGTGTGTGGTGTATCTAGTGGTGTGATAATACATGCTAACATAGGGGGCTGCTTATCAGCCTGGCGTGGCACGAAACAGGCCATTCTGTTGCTGCTGTTGTGTCAGTGTAAGTGTCATATGTGTGTGTGTGATTCTGGGTTTTTTAGGCGCCTCAAAAGTTGTCATATGCGCGTGTGATTCTGGGTTTTTTAGGCGCCTCAGAAGTTGTCATGTGCGCGTGTGATTCTGGGTTTTTTAGGCGCCTCAGAAGTTGTCATGTGCGCGTGTGATTCTGGGTTGAAGTGTGGCCGTGTGAGTCGCCTCAAATGTCAGCTTGTGCGTGGGAGTGTGGGGTTGCGCGCATGAGTGTAAGCTGTCATGCTTGAATGTCACACGAGTGTGGGATGGAGTGCGAGTGCAGCATGATGTGGCATGCGTCCTCCTCGCCCTGCTCCTTAATCTGTTGTAACTCTTCCAATCCCTTCACCCCAACCCCCCCTCCCTCCCGCACATTTGTCCACCCCTGTCCGCTACCCACAGAGAGGGAGTGAGGGTGCAGCACGTGGCGTGCTCCTCCTCGCGCTGCTGCTCCCCAATCCCTTCCCCCTGCCAACCCATTTCTTTCCCCACGTCTTGTCTCACTACGAGGAGGGCATGCGAGCTTAGTGGGAATATACGCTTATAGCGTATATACGCGTATCGTATATACGCTAACGTATATACGCTAAACGCTTAAGGGTCGATTTGGTAATACGCTTTTTCGGGCAGGTAAAAAACTATCACGGGCAGGGTGAAAAAGACGTCGTGCTCAAGTTTAAGAAGGTGATCCCTATTCTCATTAAGACTTTCGTAGCATTTCCCTAAGTCTGAACGGCGATTGGGGTGGGACGTGGAGTAGACACTAAAAGGAGAAGTAGGTAGGAATCAGAAGGAGCTCTGCTGTTAGAAAGTGGGAACGCCAACTAGAAATGACGACTGGAATTTTGCTGGTTGGTAAGGGCGCGTGTGGTCTGTTTAGAAGTTCAATATAAAGTTCGAACTTTGGGTGGTTACCCTATTCGCTAATTTCGCGAAGGGTGCTTCGCGAACCAAGCATTGTATGGGCTCTGAAAAAGTTCGAGTTTGAAATATGAACTTGACTCGAGTCGGAGGCGGGAACGTGCGTGCGCACGTTCATGCGAGCGTGTGTGATTTGCAGCACGTCCGAACAGCTGGCGAAACGGGCGAGCGCTTCGCCAGTGCATGAAGTTGCACAACGAAGACACCCCACAATTAGTGCACACAGTGGTAGCCACGTGTCCAGCATCGTGGCGCGTTCGAGCACGATGTGTTGCCACGGGGGCTATTTGTACCCTGGTTACACACTCGGCGCGGAAGGTGAGTTGGAGCTCTAGGTCCTTGTAAACCGAGGCGCAAAATGTTGACGTGGCGCACTGTCAAGACGAGCGAACCGGGTAACCTATGATGTTGACGTGCGGCTCGGCTCGTTTTTACAAGTTCGAATGTCGGGGTTCGACCTTGTATGTGTGTGTGATTTTTTACAGTGTGGTAAGCCCGATGTTCGAACTTCGATAGAAGGAAATTCGAACTTCTTTCGTTGTAAGTTCAAAACTAAAATTCGCCCTAAAAACATCAACTTTTACAAATTTCAAAGACCACACGCGCCCTAAGTAGCGTGAGTGGGGTCTGGTGGGGCACGTTTTTGACAGGGAATTCGTAGATAATATGGGTTCCAATGCGGTACCAATCTAATGTTCAAATTTGAACTGCCTGCAACTTCGAAGGCCCACTCCCGCTTCCTTAGACCGTCAAATTGCATTTCGACTTAGGCGAAATGCTCAGCAGAAGATTCCGCATCTTTCTGTACACAAGCGATTTTTTTCCCTGGGCAGCCCGAAAAAATTTCTGATAGCGTATAGCGTATTAGCTAGCGTATTGCGTTTTGTGTACACACGCTAGCGTGCGCTTTAGGGTTTGAGCGTATATTCCCACTAAGCATGCGAGTGCAGCACGTGGCATGCTTCCTCCTCGCCCTGCTGCTCCTCAGAGTCCACGTCGCCTTCCATCCCTCTTGTAGCTCACTTTCCTGTTTTCCCCTCCCCCCTCCCTCCTCCCCCGCTCCCCATCCAGAGAGGGAGTGCGAGTGCAGCACGTGGCATGCTTCCTCCTCGCTCTGCTGCTCCCCGGAGCACACGTGGCCTTCCATCCCGCCGACTTCCACGCCCTGCCTCCCTTTCGCCTCCTGCGAATCCTCTCTGCCGGCATATGGCACAACATGGTGGTGAGTGCTGGATGGGTGTTTCTTTCTTCCGCTTCACATCACATCACATCACATCACTGTGCCTCACACCCACTTCCCCCCCGGAGCACACGTCGCCTTCCATCCCACCGACTTCCACGCCCTGCCTCCCTTTCGCCTGATGAGAGTGCTTTCCACTGGCATCTGGCACAGCATGGTGGTGAGTGCACTGCATGGCACGGTAATACAACCCAACTCACTCACTCCTGTCGCCCTTCCATCCCACGACTTCCTCTCGCTGCCTCCTGCTCGCCCTCTGAGAGTCCTTTCCGCCGGCATCTTGCACAACATAGACGTAAGCATTTCTGCATTCTTGAGTCGACTCAAATAGGTCTTGTGCATTTCTGCATTCTTGAGTTGACTCAAATAGGTCTTGTGCATTTCTGCATTCTTGAGTCGACTCAAATAGGTCTTGTGCATTTCTGCATTCTTGAGTTGACTCAAATAGGTCTTGTGCATTTCTGCATTTTTTATTCGACTCAAATAGGTCTTGTGCACTTCTGCATTCTTGAGTCGACTCAAATAGGTCTTGTGCATTTCTGCATTCTTGAGTCGACTCAAATAGGTCTTGTGCATTTCTGCATTTTTTATTCGACTCAAATAGGTCTTGTGCATTTCTGCATTCTTGAGTCGACTCAAATAGGTCTTGTGCATTTCTGCATTCTTGAGTCGACTCAAATAGGTCTTGTGCATTTCTGCATTCTTGAGTTGACTCGAATAGGTCTTGCGCATTTCTGCATTCTTGAATCGACTCAAATAGGTCTTGCGCATTTCTGCATTCTTGAGTCAACTCAAATAGGTCTTGTGCATTTCTGCATTCTTGAGTCGACTCAAATAGGACTTGTGCATTTCTGCATTCTTGAGTCGACTCAAATAGGTCTTGTGCATTTCTGCATTCTTGAGTCGACTCAAATAGGTCTTGTGCATTTCTGCATTCTTGAGTCGACTCAAATAGGTCTTGTGCATTTCTGCATTTTTTATTCGACTCAAATAGGTCTTGTGCATTTCTGCATTCTTGAGTCGACTCAAATAGGTCTTGTGCATTTCTGCATTCTTGAGTCGACTCAAATAGGTCTTGTGCATTTCTGCATTCTTGAGTTGACTCGAATAGGTCTTGCGCATTTCTGCATTCTTGAATCGACTCAAATAGGTCTTGCGCATTTCTGCATTCTTGAGTCAACTCAAATAGGTCTTGTGCATTTCTGCATTCTTGAGTCGACTCAAATAGGACTTGTGCATTTCTGCATTCTTGAGTCGACTCGAATAGGTCTTGTGCATTTCTGCATTCTTGAGTCGACTCAAATAGGTCTTGTGCATTTCTGCATTTTTTATTCGACTCAAATAGGTCTTGTGCATTTCTGCATTCTTGAGTCGACTCAAATAGGTCTTGTGCATTTCTGCATTCTTGAGTCGACTCAAATAGGTCTTGTGCATTTCTGCATTCTTGAGTTGACTCGAATATGTCTTGCGCATTTCTGCATTCTTGAATCGACTCAAATAGGTCTTGCGCATTTCTGCATTCTTGAGTCAACTCAAATAGGTCTTGTGCATTTCTGCATTCTTGAGTCGACTCAAATAGGACTTGTGCATTTCTGCATTCTTGAGTCGACTCAAATAGGTCTTGTGCATTTCTGCATTCTTGAGTCGACTCAAATAGGTCTTGTGCATTTCCGCATTCTTAAGTCGACTCAAATAGGTCTTGTGCAATTCTGCATCCCCGCCTCACCCCCCCTCCCCCCCTCACCCTCCCTGTTCCCCTCGCCCCCTAACCCCTCGCCCCCTACCCCCTGGCCCCACTCCCACCTGTGCAGCTCTCTCTGCTCGCACTGCTGCTCCCCTCCTCTCCCCTCCATGCAGCCATCTTCCTTCCTCTCTACCCCCTGACATGACCCTTCCCGTTCCCATCTTTCCCTACCCCTGGCCCCACTCCCACCAATGCAGCTGTCTCTGCTCGCTCTGCTGCTCCTCTCTTCTCCCCTCCAAGCACTGCTCTTCCTTCCACTCTACTCCCAGTCGCCCCCAGGCCTCAAGGTGCGTCCCTTCCTGCACCAAACCCTTTCCTCCCCTCTCCTCTCTTCTCCCCTCCAAGCAACCCTCTTCTTTCCACTCTAATCCCAGTCGCCCCCCGGCCTCAAAGTAAGACCCTGCACGTCCCTTTCCCTGCAATAAATCCATCTCTCCGACCTTCATTTGCTCCTTTCCCCTCCCCTTCAAGCACTGCTCTTCCTTCCAATCTACTCCCAGTCAACCCCCGGCCTCAAAGTAGGACCCTGCACGTCCCATGTCCCACGAAAGAACGACTCTGCGTGTGCCTAAAGCCATGCTCCTCAATCAAAACTACATGCATGTATCTTCTTCTTGCACTGAAACTCCTCTTTTTCTTGCATGCTCGTGAAACGCGCACATGCTACCCTACCCTCGTTATAGTCGCATTCAAACAAGCGACACCCTCCCTTGTTACAGGCACGTGAGCGCGCTCCTTTCTTGTTCTACTCCCTCCCGTCCTCAGGTTTTGAGAATTCTCAAACGCGTTCCTTTCTTGTTCCAATCCCCTCCCGTCCTCAGGTCACATCAGTACATCCACTCTCCCCTCTCTACAGTCCCTCGCTACAGTCACATTCCCTCAACAAACACCTTACAGGCACATGAGTGCATTCCTTTCTTGTTGCACTCCCCTCTCATCCTCAGGTTACATCCGTGCATCCGCTCTCCCCTCTCTACAATCACATTCGCCCAGGAGACTCCTTACTAGCACTCGACCACACTCCGCTTTCCTCTCCTGCCGACTACACTCACCTCCTCTCCCACCTCTCCCACCTCTCCCACCTCTCCAATCTCTCCTACCCTCTGCCTCCTTCAATCCCTCCTTCGCCTCCTTCCCGTGGGTACTGCATTTCCCTCTCGGCCAATCACGAGCTGCCACCTGGATTCCTGACTCCATCCTTTCCAGCCAATGGAAGCATCCCACCAGTAGCTTCATTTGGACCAATCTCCAGCTCTTTCCTAGAACCTTCCCACCACCATCTTCATTCTAACATGGAGCCATTCCCATCACCTCGGCACATTTCCTGTGATGCCTCGTTTCCTGGAACCATCCTTTTCTGGCGAGCTCTAGCTGGCGATGCGGAACCTTCCTCGCAGCTTCCTGGCAGTGAACCACACCAAGAGGAAGCTTCCGTTCAGTTTCCTGGTGATGAATCGCAGCACCAAGAAGAAGGTTCTGAGATGGTTCCTACTGCGGCATGTTTGCGTCCAAGGGAAGTGGTGGATACAGGGAGGAGATGCGGATGGGGTTGGATGGATGATGGTGGGAAGGAAGAGGTGAAGGAAGAGCGGAAGGATGATGATGAGAGGGAAGAGGGGAAGGAGAAGCGTCGATGTGATAAGGTGAGTGCGAGGGAGCATCGAGATAGATACCCTCAGAAGAAACACTACATGCACGTCTCTCAGTCCTCACGCCAAAGCCATCTTCTGCTCTGTGTTGCTCCTTGTGCTTTCTTTGAATCTCTTTCCTCTCGACATCATCCCATCATCCTCCCTTCATCCTTTCCCCATGGATGGCCAGGGATCCGTCTGCATGGCCCCTGCACTTTCCCATCACCACCTGCTGCTCCTCGTATGGTTTTGGAAATCTTTCTTCTCTCTCTCCTTGTTTTGTCCTTCCCTCACCGCCAGGGATCCGTCTGCATGGCCCCTGCACTTCCCCATCACCATCTGCTGCTCCACATGCAGTTTCAGCCCTCCTCCTCTTCACCCTCCTCCTCCACCTTCTCCTCCTCCTCCTCCAGTTCCTCTCCTTCCTCCTCCACTTCCTCCGCTCCCTCCTCTCTAGTGTTTGTAGGAACCATTGAGTCCTTTGCACAGGGCCTATCTCTTTCCCCGTGGCATCCTCGCACACTCACTTTCCCTCTCACACTGCCTAACCTTGCGCTGGAACACAGAAAATTGTTGCACGCACCAAGCCAGCCTGCCGCTGCTAGCATGCTGCAGAGAGAAGAGCAGCAGCAGCAGCAGCAGCGATGGCAACTAAAGAAACAGCAGCCGGAGCAGGGACAGGAGCAGCAGCTGCAATGGCAACAGGTGCTTCAGCAGGGAGAGGAGCAACAACAGCAGAAAGAGCAGGATCAGCAGGAGAGCGAGGGAGGGGAAGAGCAGAATCGTAACCGTTCATCCCTGTTACCAGCATCGCCACCATCGATGGTTCAGATTTCAGCGCCATTGTGGGGCCCTGTGGTGGTGACACGTGTCACTCTCTTTGTCCTCCACGTGTCCAATGCTCTTGCCCTCATCAATGCTGCTCCGGTGAGTATTGTATATTGCTTATGATCAAATCTTACCAGAATAATGTAGTTTCATGGCTTTTGCGGGAAACAAAGGATGTTGCCTTTCACATGTTGCCATTCACATGTTGCGCTAAGTTGCCCATGTACCCTCCTTCAGTTGATGTTACGATTCGTTGTCTACACTCCCACTCTATAGCGCTCCTTTTCCGTTTCTCGCCTCAACTTTGTGTTATGATTCATTACCCTCCATTTTTCTTTGCTGTCCTCCATATAAGGCTTTCTCTTTCAAACACCACGCCCTTACCCTCCTCCTCCAAACCCATTAATATATTTCTTCATATGCCCCCTCCCCTTCCTGTTTCTCTCAGATTTTATTCCTCGATGAAGAGACCCATTCTCTCAAACCTGACTTCATCTAATGCATCTATTTATTCATATCTCCCCTCTCCCCCCTCCCCCCTCTCCTCTCCTTCCTGTTCCCACCGCAGATTTTCTTCCTGGATGGAGAGGCCATTCTCTCAAACCTCCTCCGCCTGCTTCTCCCGTTCCCCTCGCATCCTCTCGCCTCACATCTGCACCTCCGGCACCAGCAGCAGATTACTCGCCACCATAGTATTCTCACTAGTGTCCTTTGGGGAGGATCTTTCCTTCTTCTTGTCTCCCTTACTTCATCTATAATGTTTTCACATTCGTGAAATACAACTCAACATTTCATCATAATCAAATCATGATATACTCAACTGTGCACCTACTCTGCGTGGAACTTTTACGCAGTCAAAGTGTTAGACTACAAGTACCAAACCTGTCCATTCTGCCCTAACCTATGGGTGCACCGAGAGCTATGCCGCACTTGGTGCTGCACCCTATGCACCAGGCCCCCAAAAGTCAGATTTGCTTGTTTTAGTCTGAGATTTCATATTTTTTTTAGGGTGTACTCTGTTAAGTTCAGATTTTTGGGTTGCGAAGCAACCTATTACGATCGTTATGTACAATTTTTTTTTCAATCCTCCATACTTCAAAAAATAAAGGATGGAAAAAATATAGTGAACGGTACTAGCTAAGTGACTGACTGTTATGTATTTGCCGCGTTAATTTACCACGTGCTGAACCACATTCCTTCTCATTTCCTAGTTTGTTTTGACTGAACCTATATTTCATGAGTTGCCAAAATGATGTACTGTGAACGCGTAACTGTTTATTTCGTGATGCATATGTCTGATGCTGTTATGCGTGAAGTAAATGCAAATGCATAAGTATAATGCATATACTACCGGTAGTGAAATTAATGCATAGCATGATGGAAATGCGTAACAGTTAATTGACGCAGACCCTATGCTACCGCGTCCCCTGCCTAGCATGGGGGGGAGCTCAATAGCATAGTTTCTGAATCATCCAACTGTTACATGAAACAACACAATCTGTGTGATCTAAAAAAAGGGTCAATTCTATCATATCCAGTTCGAATGGACACACTCACTGAGTGCGCAAAGAACCTTCTCGGAAATGATAGTTTGATCCCAATTTTTAAAACCCACAAACATGTGTTATTTATGCAATGAAAACATGAATGAAAACGCATACACACACAACACAACGCATACCCACACAATTTAAAAAGACATTTAGCATACTAATACCTTTCATCTGTCTCACACTCGTTGTTCTCACTCTCGCGTAAGTTTGTACTCGTTTTCATGGTCTGTTCAAATGTCTAATAATTAACCCATTAACTCTTTAAACTCCTCTGAGCATCTTCCCCGCTGTTCCAAATCGCTCACAGCTTCACCAACGCTGCACAAAAAAGAGGGGGCAATTTCCAAGTGTAAGAAAAAATTGATATACGTCAATCAAATTACTACTACAATGAGCACATGTAAATAACCACAATAAGAAGGGTGCTCACGTCCTGTCTCTTTTTGGCGGTTGTTGACGAAATCGGTGTGCTCGATGTGTCAAAGTTCGTCGGAGCGTCGCTCGCCTGCGTGATCGTCCAGATCTCCAAGATGGTCTTGCTCACGCCTGCTCCTTCAGGACGAAAGTGGACCTTCAATAACAATGAACAGTACATGTAGAATAATTTGAGTTAGAGAGCTATCAGTAACCACCAAAAATGCATATTGATGTGCACATTTAATAAGTATACAAAAATCTTAGTAAATGTTAAAAACTAACAACTAAATTCACATACCTTCACATGCCAATGGCCTCGAAGCGTGTCCAACACGCTTTGCCGCTCGCCCATTGTCATGGAGTGGAAATCCGAAACCTGAAAACTTGGGAACAGTCGTCCCAAAAGTTCCGGCTGAATCTCCAAACCCTTTGCCTGCGTCGTGAACGAATCTGAAAATGAAACATAAGAGAACTTAGTCAATGTACAGTACCTAAATTTTGTGGAAAATATAGCAAGCGCCACAATGAAAATGCTAGACATGATGCTTACCACTCTCGTGAACAACAAGAGTTGCTGTCACGTTATCGAACGCGCGGACTGATGTCGCTCTGTGGACGCGACATCTGTGAACCTCCGAAGCCGCGGAGGTGAAAACAGGCATTCCACAAATGGAATCTCCTACTCCAGCAGCGCAGACAACTCGACTACTGTGCACTGGGTCTCTGAGGTCTGCTGCAAGTGTTGCTATCTTCTCTTCGTTTGTTACCATCACCAATGTGTCCACATGGGACATCCTGATCATTCAAACAAAAAAAAAGGCTATTGAATATCATGTTTGCTAGTAACGGCTTACTTGCGCAAATTTAGATAACTTACAAGCTCACAAGACCGACGTCTTGTAGCTCGGTGACTGGTGCATCCGTTGTGACGGATGGTGGAACAGGATCGAGAATGACAATGTCCGAAGGCACAGTCGTCGTGAAAACAGCAGACTTGAGATACACGTTGCTGATGAAGGCAGGAACATCGCTAGCATCCGGGTGATCAGCAAAATATCTCTCACAGCTGGAGTTGAACCTGATGGCGACATCCCCGAGCGCTATCAAAACGCTCTTCATCGTTGAGTCATGGATGCCAGCTGTGAACTTTGGAAGCGCGCGGTTTGACTCGAAAGACGAGATCTTGAGCCTGACAGAAATGCAAGGGATCTGGAAATAAAGGAGGTGAATGGTACAACTGAAGTGAAAACATAGAATACATGCAGAGAGACATACCATGATTGTTAATTACAATGTATGGCATGAATGATTTGAGATAGAACGAAAGACAGAAATGTGTATCACAAATTACAAAAGTAGGTGACAATTACAATACAACAATCACATGAAGAAAGATGTAACAAACATCGTCGCAATTCTTACCCTAGACTTATCCTCGCCCCCGTAGAAGCTCAAAAGCGTGGGAGTGGGCAAGTTTCCCACGTTCAGCCGAGGAGGCCCGCTGACCTCGATTAGGTGTGAGCACCGATGCGTCCAGTTGAGTTGCGTGCGAAGCCCTCCAATCAGAATCCTGTACGTATTCAGTGCATAGATTGTAAAACTAAAACGTGTAGAATCACATAGACAAGTCCAAACAAAACTTACCAAGTGGGGGGTGCGCAAGCACCGACGGTGCGATGGACTTCATAGACTTTCCCGATGGAAAGCCTCATCAAAAATTCATTCATAGCTTCCACATCACATCGACCAGGCCCCCTGGATTGTGGCCACATCACCACCTCTGCCACAGTGAGATCCTCATCAACGACGTAAATCTTTCCGGGTAGAAATTTCGCAACATTCTTCCCGAAACCATTCTTCTTGCCTATCACCATGACTTTCACATGAAAATCGACTCGGGGACGTCCTGCTTGAACCTTAGCATCAACCCATTTGAGTTTAACCTCTACAGATTCCTGCATATGAAACAAGTTTAACAAGTGAGAATAGCACTAACGAGATATAAAACCACGATAACCACAATGATAACACAGTATATATAACGTATAAAGAAACTCACCTCCCCTGAGTCGTGCGGAAATGGCAGAGGATCTGTCGTAAGCACATGTATATAACAAAACAATACGTGTATTGAAAATGTTGAGCACAATGTACAGTATGATGCGAAAGAATAAACCGATGATCAATCATTGATGCATGCATGTAACTGTGAAAAGAGTAAGCAGGAATGAATGAACTATGAATGAAAGCAGTACAAATATGAAACCCTAACTGGGTTGTACCCCCTATGGGATACCCCACAACAGCCTACACAGCAGTATAAGCTATAGATATGTTCTGACACACCCCCATAGGCAAAGTGGGGGAGAACAAGGGGTCACAAGACCAGTCAAGCAAGACAAAGCAAAGCTCAGGGTGGATCACAAAGTCACCACACAGTCCGAGCACAAGAGCAAGGCCAAAGGCCAGTTCACAAGCAAGAGTACAGACATATATATAAAGCTAGACAAGCAAGAGCAGGTATATATATATGTCACAGTACAAGTGAAGTCAAGAGGAGAGCAAGTGAGGCAAGACAGGCACAAGACCCAGCTGGGTGCAGAAGCGCTGATGGTCACAAGGCGCAAGTGCCTTGGTGAACACATCAGCAGTGTTGGCCTCAGAGGCCACGTACGCAAGTCGCAACTGACCACGCTGCTGCAGCTCACGAGCAAGGAAGTAGCGGAGAGCAATGTGCTTCGTTCTGTGCTCCAAGCGCTGCTCTCGACACAAGGCCAGCATAGCCTTGTTGTCTACGTACAGCACTGGAGGAGAACGAGGCGGCTCTCCAAGGTCAGTCAGCAGGTAGGTGAGCCAGCGAAGCTCCTGTGCAGCCATGGCCCCGGCGTAGATCTCAGCCTCACAACTGGAGCCGAGAACCGAAGACGAGCGAGTAGACCGCCACGAGACAGAGCCGGAACCAAGGCTGAAGGTGTAACCCTGTGACGACCGCTGCGTAGCCTGGTCGTCAGCCCAAGAAGCGTCCGCGTGGCCGGTAAGGACCACTGGACTCCGCCCTCCAAGCACTAGCCCCATGCCCGACGTACTGCACAGGTAGCGCAATACCCTCTTCGCTGCAGCCATATGCTCCGGTCTGTGTCTCCCAGGAGCAACATAGCGTGCAAGAATGCTCAGAGGGTATGCAAGGTCAGGTCGTGTGCAGGTCATCAGGTACATGAGGCAGCCAACAAGCTCTGCATACGGACCACTCGACTCTACGGACTCATCCGAAGGCAGAGCTGAGAGTGAGTGGCGAGTAGGCAGAGGAGTGGCCTGAGGCGAGGAGTACGTGAAGCCGAAGCGCTGAAGGACCTGCTGCACCATGTGTGACTGAGTCAAGGTAATGGTGCGGCGTGCTCTGTCCCGAGTGATCTGCAAGCCAAGGTAGCTGCGCAGTTCACCCAGGTCTGTGCACGTGTGTCTCTTCAGCAGCTCGGACTTCACGTAGGCGAGTCCAGCAGTGTCCGATGTGGCAAAGACCAAGTCGTCGACGTACACGAGGATGTAGAACGGCGGCAGGGAAGTGTCGGTGCGAAGAAACAGCGACGGGTCAGCAGTAGAAGGAGCAAACCCAAGAGCCGCAAGCGTAGTCCTCAGTGTGTCGTGCCACTCACGCGGTGCCTGGCGGAGACCGTAGACTGGCCGTCGGAGGCTCCACTGGGTGCCAGGAGGGAAAGTCCCAGT